TGCCCAATATTTTTTTTTTTTGTACAGTCTTCTTCGTCGTCTTCACCGCGAGTCATTGATCAGGAAATCGGAACTATGAGAATTTGGGGTATTTGTTAATTAATGGAGTTTCCATAGTTTCAGATCAACTTTTTCTTCGATTCGTGCAATTGTAGTGTGAAGATAGTTTAAAAAATCTCAAACCCAGCGAGACCTATAGACGGAGAATTTGAGTTTAGCATCTCCAAAAATGGCCACTAATAGAGATAACGTTAATCTCTCTCGCACCTTCAAGTATTTACTAGGTTCGTCTTCATTTTGTGATTGCTTGTTCTTTCTCTCTGCGTTTTGCTTCTAATTGGGTTTTTCCCTTTCTTCCTCGATCGAATTTTTGGAATTTAGCTACCCAATTTCTTTCCAGAGGCATCCCGTTCGTATTCAATTCATGGGTCGTGAGGCATCTCACTGAAGAACACTATGCGGTATGAGTTCTCTAATTGCTAAAGTATTGATTTTTAGGTATGGAATATCAAGTTTTGGTTTCTGTGACTGTATTCAATTATCAAGTCATGTTTTTATAAGCCTTAGCTTTGCTTGATTTGACTAGACTTTCATTTGAGTAGCTACGTGGATGATGTTTCCTTCTTCGAAAATTCAATGGTTTTTGCATTTTTATGTTCAGTCTACCTTTTCTCATTGCAATGCAGCTCTATGCGGTCCAGTTCCATCTTTTTGTTACTTGTGTATTGTTTCTCAGTCGTGAGGGATTTCGACGCGCTTGTTTGCGGGCTGACATTAACAGGTATACATAAAGCAGTTTCATTTTCACATAATAGGTTCATGACTAAGTTTTCGGCAATTGTGATATTTCCTTATCTTGTGTTGCAGCGATGGTCGTGCATCAAAGGAAGATGTGACTAAGCTATTGAAGGTGGCATGGGTGACATTTCCACTAGGAATAGCTATTACTGTTGCAGCATGCATCTTTGTGTTATGGTGGCAGAACCTTAGTTACTATGAGACATATGCGCAGGCTATCTTGATTCACGGTAAATTGTTGTTATTGTATATGCACTTATCATACTTCTTTCGCTTACAATTTGAAACTTTCGGATTTGTGGTCCAAACTTAGATTCTGTGAGTATATAGCAGTAGGATTAATCTACCTTTTTTTCACAACTTGTGGACTAACCTATTTAATTGGCAGCATTTGCATGTGTACTGGAGCTAATGGCTGAGCCTTTGTATATCCTCTCTCAGACATTGATGCGTCTAAAATTGCGACTCGTTGTTGAAACTGTTGCTACAGTTTCACGCTGTGTAACTTTGTGCTATCTCATAGTCATGCAAACCAACATGGTACATAGTTGTGATAATAAGTTATTAGTTCTTGTGCCATTCCATCCTGTTTCTGGCTAAAGAAGCATAATTGAAGAAAATTATTTGATAGACCTAATATCTAATTAGCTTCAGCATATGTAGGAAAAAGGGATAATCTTCGCAATGTCACAAGTTGCATATGGAGGTTCCTTATTTCTTGGGTACTGGGCATATTTTCTCCTTCGTGGTGATTTCAGAAGTTCAGATCTCTTTCCTTTCAGGTATGATCTCTTCGCCAGCATTCTTAACTCTTAATATGTTCCTGTTATCTCATTTATTTCCAATAATGTTTTTAACAATTTTGTGATGTCACAGAGTTGGAAACTTCATGGATTTCGATAAGCAGCTCTCGAGCATGTGTATGCTATTTACTTTTCAGTCCTTCCGAAAGTTGATCCTCCAAGAAGGTGAAAAGTTGGTCCTTGTATGGTTAGATACACCTTATAACCAGGCTGTATATGGTATCGTCGACAAACTAGGCAAGTCTCTTTCGTGACAAAATGCAAGTTTTCTACGGATACAAAATATATTATATATCGTCAAGAGAGGTTGCTTATTATTATTTCTTACACAATATCTAAAATTCCAGGAAGCTTAGTAGTACGCATGGTGTTTCTCCCTTTTGAAGAAAGTTCATATAGTACATTTGCCAGGTTCGCATCAGGTTTATTTCTCTCCTGAGTTTAGTGTGGTGTATGTAATATATTTTAGTTCTAATGTTTGATGATCTTGGTTCAGATCTTTATCCGCTGAGTTCTTATCCCTAATTAAAATTTATCGTTCTCTCTTTCTCAACAGGTGATAACGAGCAAAGGATCAGGAGACTCGAAATTTGCTTGACCGAGGCCTTGAAGCTTGTAATGTTAATAGGTATTTTCCTATTTGTGCAGTTAAGAAATCCCACTGGAATATCTCTTACCGAGCATCAGCTTTTCAACTTCATTTCCATATCTCCAATTGTTTTTTGATCCTCAATGTGTATAAGACATTTGACTCTAATCTTTGGTTACTAAATGGGAATTTCCAGGTCTTATATTTATGGCTTTTGGCCCGAGTTATTCATACTCTCTCATCAGATTGCTGTATGGTGAAAAATGGAGCGATGGAGAAGCTTCCTTAGCTCTACAGTTTTATTGTCTCTACATCATCGTCCTGGCCATGAACGGTTAGTAATCATATCCAGATTTTACATAACGCATCTTTGATTTTTGCGGTTGCTAGTTGCAATTTTTTCAGTCTTATTACTTCATAAATTATTTTGTCAGGAACCTCCGAAGCATTTTTACATGCAGTTGGAACAGAGAATGATCTGAAGCGCTCAAATGACTTGTTGCTTGTATTTTCATTGATCTACATCACATTCAATATTCTGCTGATAAGATCTTTAGGAGCAATAGGTTTAATCCTGGCAAATTCCTTGAGTATCCTTCACCC